GCTGGAAGGCTACACTACATTTGAAGAACTTACTAAGTTGGCTCTCAAGGTTGAGTCACAAATGAAGAACTTACTAAGTTGGAACTCTACCCCTTTCTCACTCCCCACTTACACCCCCACCAAACCCTCTCCTACTGCCCACGGCCAAACAACAAAACCCCAAACTCCTTTAAAACCAAACCTCACTCCTTTCCCACCTAAAACATCCCCTTCAACCAACAAAAGAGCCACCGTGTGTTACTGATGTCAAGGGACTGGTCACTATGCCAATGAGTGCCCAAACAAGAAGATAATGGCCTTGGTGGAATATGAAGATGAAGAATACAATCCCATATGGGATGAAGAGATAGCCGAGGAAGAAGAGGAAGAATGCGTTGGCCCCGATGAAGGAGAACTTTTGGTCATTCGAAGGACCTTAAGTGCCATCTCATGCTCCGAAGAACAACTACAACGGGAGAACATCTTTTACACCCGTTGTACAATACATAAGAAGGTGTGCTCCTTAATCATTGATAGCGGGAGCTGTTCTAACGTCGCCTCCAAAACCGTGGTGGACAAGCTACACTTAAAGGTGTCCCCTCATCCTAAGCCTTACACGATTCAATGGTTGAATCAAGGCAAAGGGTTACATGTGGATACGCGGTTCTTGATCTCTCTAAGCATTGGGAAGACTTACAAAGATGATATTTGGTGCGATATCATTCCCATGGACGCGTGCCACGTCCTTTTGGGACACCCGTGGTTATTTGACAACAAAGTGCAACATGATGGTTTTTTCAACACTTACTCCTTCCTAATGAACAAAAGAAAGATTACACTCACTCCCTTACCCCCACCTTCCTCACCCACAGCCCAAGCAAGTAACAACACCCCCCATCTCAAATCTCCACTATACTCCAATCCGAGCATCATGAACTTAAAGGATTCAAGGACCTCATTCTCCTTGACCTTGAGGTAGCCGAACCCCCTTCCCCTCCAAAACAGCCTCACCCTCTAGCCATCCCCATCCTTGAACAATATGCCCACGGCCTACCACCAAAGAGAGTTATCCAACACAAAATCGACCTCATTCCCGGGGTTGCCTTACCAAATAAACCAGCCTATAGAATGAACCCGGAGGAAACAAAGGAGATACAACGCCAAGTGGATGAACTACTAGCGAAGGGCTTTATTCGTGAAAGCCTAAGTCCTTGCGCTGTTCCAGCCTTGTTGGTACCAAAGAAGAACGGTACGTGGAGGATGTGCTGCAATAGCCGAGCCATTAACAAGATCACCATCAAATATAGGTATCCTATACCTAGGCTCGAGGACATGCTGGATGAACTCCATGGTTCTAAGATCATTTCGAAGATTGATCTTCGAAGTGGTTACCACCAAATCCGTATCTATGAAGGGGATGAATAGAAGACCACGTTCAAAATGAAGTTTGGCCTCTACGAGTGGTTGGTTATGCCATTCGGGCTTACCAACGCCCCGAGCACATTCATGCGGTTGATGAACCAATTCTTGAAGCCATATATAGGTCATTTTGTCATAGTCTACTTTGACGACATCTTGATCTATAGTAAGAGTGAACAAGAGCACATTAACCACCTCACCTTAGTGGTTAAAAGATTGGACGAAGAGAAGCTCTATAGGAATCTTGAGAAGAGTCAATTCTTCTCTTAAGAAACGAAATTCTTGGGATACTTTATCTCGAGTGAAGGTATCAAGGTGGAAGAAAGGAAAAAACAAGCCATAAGGGATTGGCCCATTCCCACGTCGATGCAACAAATACGGACTTTTCATGGTCTAGCCTCATTCTACCGAAGGTTTGTGCGTGACTTTAGCACCATCACTGCACCCATCACGGGCCTCACCAAAAACCAGAAGTTCAAATGGAATCCAAAAGCTCAAAAAGCCTTTGAAACCATCAAATAAAGGTTGACACACGCCCCCGTGTTAGCCTTACCGAGCTTTGAGAAATTGTTCGAGGTGGAATGCGATGCATCCGGAGTCGGGATAGGGGCTGTCCTCTCCCAAGAAGGCCACCTTGTGTCATATTTCAGTGAGAAGTTGAATGACACGAAAAGGCGATATTCAACTTATGATAAGGAGTTCTACGCTCTTGTTCGGTCCCTAGAACATTGGCAACACTACTTGGTTAGCAAGAAGTTCATACTTCACTCCGACCATTCAAGGGCAACACAAACTCTGGCAACACAAACTCCGGGCAAGGGCAACACAAACTCCGGCCCCGTCATGCCAAATGGGTCGAATACATTCAAACCTTCACCTTCACCATAAAGCACAAGAATGGGTCCATGAACAAAGGAGCCGATGCCCTCTCCCGGAGACACCTCTTACTAACGGCCCTTAGTGCCAAAATTGTTGGTTTTGATTTTGTGCAAGAGCTATACAAAGAGGATGAAGACTTCAAAGACACATTCTCCAAGTGTCTTGTGCGACCCCATGGAGAATTCCTTGTCAAGGACGGTTATTTATTCCGAGGAAATCAGTTGTGCATTTCAAAATGTAGTCTTCGTGAGACTCTCATTGAAGAAGTACATGGAGGAGGACTAGCAGGACACTTTGGCATCGAGAAGACCCACATGATGATGCGTGAACACTCCTATTGGCCGAAGATGGAACGAGACGTGGAGCACTACATCAAACAGCGCAACCTTTTCCAAATGGCCAAGAGCCATTCCTTAGCCCAAGGAAAGTATCTTCCTCTACCCATCCCCACGGTTCCATGGGAAGATATTAGCCTCGACTTCATCACGGGGCTGCCTAGAACACAACGAGGGAAATATTCAAGGTAACATGTAAATTATTATTACCCGTAATCAAATGAATACAAGAATGTCAAATGCTTAACCATAAGATGGTTACTTGAAAAAGTACGTAAAAATACAACCTAAACACCTATACAAAGCAGAAAATTACAAATCAAAATGCCCCTACACAAACAAATGTAGTAGGCCATACATAAATCATCCACTAAGAACCAAAAGGGAACTCAAAAACAACATCAACAAGAAGATTACAGACAGAACAAAAACAAGCTTCAAGTCCATATTGCAACGCATTCCACATTCCAGTTTAATCAAGCAAGGCCTAGCATCAGTAGCATCATGTATATCCAATCTCAGCCAAGGTTCAGAAGATCAAGACCCCCTTTTCACAAACAAAAGGGATAGGTCTGAACCCAAGTAGCAGGCAGTCTACACAAGCACGGCTACCTGCCATTCAAGATTGATAGCTAGCAGTAGAACATCCATTGCAACCAGGTGTGTCCATCTCCCTTCGAAGAGTGCATCATCTCTCCAACTCAAGATCCAAGTTCAGCACAGCTAGGTTAAGCACATAACATGGTATACAAAGTGAAACCAGTCACTGTCAGTGGAAGACCAAGTAGGGGTACAGCCACAGAGAGTAAACATCCATCCGTTCATCCAAACTCCCATCTGTCAGTGATATGGGCAGCAAACAAAATGTATACTAAAAGATGGAGGGTTCAGAAACATGAGCCTCCAAACACAAGATCCACAGTAACCCAAACAAAGTTTAGAACCAGTAAGCCAAGTAAAATCACAGCGAGGAGGACTAGCCTTCATACATATACAAGTCAAAGAAAGAGATGTAATATGCATTGTGGGCTAAGTCCAAGAGCAAGAGCAAGGTGAGAGAGAAGTAAAGAAACAGAAGGGGGTGGGAAGAGAGAAAGAATGAAGAAGGGGTGAGAGGGGGACAACAAGAAGGAGGAGGCAGGGTGCAAACACCCCCAACTGGACCCAGACTTAAGTCAATGTATCCAGAAGGGGTACAGTCACTTAAGTTTGTTTCAGCCACCCACTAGGGGTTACCCACCCAAAAACCCAGGCCAGACACAACCATCTACATAGTCCCACTCAAAGGAAGGAGCAGGCTTATGTAATGGATTGTGTCCAGCAGAAAGAAGAGTGAGATGAGAGAGAGAAAAAGAGGGGAAGAAGAGAAGGGAGGGGGGGGGGAAGAAAGAGAGAAGATGGGTGAAAACACCCCAACCGGGACCGAATGATACCTCTTTATATCCAGAAGGGGTATAAAGAGGTAAAATTGTTTCCACCACCCCAATACCATAGTCCAGAGACTAAGCCATTGAGGCTGGCCCAAACCCAAGGAACAGTTATCTCAGAAGAGAGACTGTTCCAGCACCCCAAGGACCTAATCTGGACCCAGCTCAAACTTTAGTTATCCAGAAATTGGGTATCTACTATTTGAACTGTTTCCAAGTCAGTCCAGGACCTGAAGTTAATCCTTCAGCCCACACAGGGTCAAAGGGTTAACTTCATTTCCACCACCCCAAGCAGTCAGGCAATGATAAACCACTCCTCAAACACAGAGTTATCATTGGAGGTGAGGGAAAAATCACAAAGTTTAGAACCAAGCTATCCTCAGAAAAGACTTTACCTTGGTTCTAAGGGAACCCAAACAAAGTAGTATCACCAGAGGCTGGTCACAAGCAGAACAATCAAAGGATTAGGGGTTTCTGGGGGTATAATCTCTGCATCACCTTATATACACCCACTTTGATTTTGTAAATGATAGTATCAGTGTTGAATCCTTCATGGTCAAAGTAGCATCCATTTCTGTTTCTCCAGATGGTATAGACAGTGCACATGATTGCCAGCCTCCACATTTTCCTCTTAGCACAATGACTATGTCTCTGTCTTCCAACCCATTCAATGGCTCTCTCAAGTGTGGATAAGGCTGGTGCAATATTAAGCCAGTTTCTGATGGCTCCCCAAATGAGAGCAGTATTCTCACAAAGGAAGAAAAGGTGCTGGGCAGTTTCCTCCTCAGTATGACAGAACTCACAATTCCTATTATCCAGCTATAGGAAATGGAGATTCATTTTTGTAGGAATTCTTCCTCGTAGGGTAAGCCAAACAGTGAAGGAATATCTAGGAGGGATATAAGGCTTCCAAGTTGCTTTCATCCAAGGTCTAATGTTTCCCTTGGACCTCAAAAGATCATAGACCTTGGTAGCTTTAATGTCCCCCATGTCACACAAATTGTCTTCAATCATGAATCTATCACCACACTTTTGCAAAAGAGAGTCCCTAATCTCAGCAATCTTCTTGAAGAAGTGTGAATCCTTTTTGCTAGGATTCCAGGTCCAAAAATCACTGCCCTGGAGGTAAACAGAATGCACCCATTGTATCTATAAGGTTTCCTTATTTGCTGCAATGTTCCAGAAGCACTTAGCCAGTAGTGCTTGGTTCCAAATAGTTGAGTTTCTGAGTCCCAAACCCCCTTCATCTTTGGGTTTACAGATGTTATCCCAGGCCACTTTACAGAATTTACTTCCCCATAAGAAAGCTCTGCAGAGGGTAGTGATTCTATCCAAAACAGATTTGTGAATGGGGAAAGCCTGAAACCAGAAACCCTCAATTCCTTGAATCACACTTCTGATCAATTCCAGTCTGCCAGCAGAAGATAGAGACTTAGTGTTCCATTTCCTGATATTCTCATCCACTTTGGCAATAAGGGGGGCAAAGTCTCTTTCTGAAGCTCTTTGAGAAGTCAAAGGGAGTCCCAAGTATCTGACAGGAAGTTTCCCCTCAGGGAAGGAAACCAAGGACAAGAGGTCAGACTTGCCGTCCTTGATTTCTCCAGCCAAAAAGATGTTGGATTTGAGGGGATTAACAAAAAGGCCAGATACTTGAGAGAAATTCTGAATAGTGTTGGCCAGGACAGTAACAGAATCCTTGTTCCCCCTTGGCTTGTGATAATGAAGGGGATGGAACTCAGAAATATTCAATCATGGTTGTGGTAGATCGGTTCTCAAAGATGGCCCATTTCATGCCATGCTTAACCACACATGACGCCTCGCAAATCGCTGATCTCTACTTCTGAGACATCGTCAAATTACATGGGATTCCTCGAAGCATGGTATCGGATCGGGATAGCAAATTCCTTAGTCATTTTTGGATGACACTTTGGAGAAGGATGGGAACCAAGCTCATGTTTAGCACCTCTCACCACCCTCAAACCGACGGCCAAAAAGAAGTGACGAACCGAACCCTTGGAACGTTGTTACGGGTGCTCATCAAGAAGAATATAAGGCAATGGGAAGAACTTCTACCCCATGCAGAGTTTGCTTATAATCGAACACCAAGCAAGACAACCGGGTTTTCTCCGTTTATGGTTGTTTACGGTTCTAACCCCCTTACCCCACTTGAACTTGATCCAATTGTGATAACACAGAAATATAGTGCGGAAGCCGAGGAACGGGCTAGGAAATTCAAGACCTTCACGCTAAGGTCCGAGAGAGAATTGAAGCAATGAATGAGAGAGTGAGTGCACTAGTCAACAAGAGAAGGAAGTCCGCTGAGTTCAAGCTTGGTGATTTGGTTTGGATTCATCTTCGGAAAGAGAGTTTCCCCACGAAAGGCAAGTCCAAGCTACTACCCCGAGCGGATGGTCCCTTTGAAGTTCTAGAGAAGGTCAATGATAACGCCTACAAGATCAATCAACCGGGAGAATATGGAGTCTCCGCGACATTCAACATCGCCGATCTCAGCCCTTACTTTGAGCCTAAAGATATTCTGAGTTTGAGGTCAAACTCTTCCTAAGAAGGGGAGGATGATATATCCCGGGTTACACCTTCACACACGCCACAAGTATTAAAAGAAATCAAGTGTTTAATGTCTAAGTGTTATGATTCATTTTGGGTTGAACTCATTGATCCATCCCACACCAAAACCCAAACCATGACCTATCTCTCCCAAAACCCAACCTAGGCCAAAATTCCTACAAGCCCAACCCACTCCAACATATCCAAAAGTATTTTATTTTCATTTACTACTCAAATAAAGTCCTTCTCCTCTCCCTTGAAGCCTTGGCCGAAATTAAAAGGAAAAGTACTACCCAAAAATAATGTGAGTATTGTTTTCTTCGCTAAATATTCCTTACTTCAAATAAGATAAGCCGGGTTTGGGTTAGTTCTTTTTATTCATTTTTAGGCATTTTTAATACTTTTAGATTTTAATTTTTAGTTGTTTAGCTAAGTTTTATTTTAATTCTCATTTTTACAATCTTTTAGTTTTCTTTCAAAAACAGTAGTTTTTTAATCATTTTTTTTAACATTTTATTATTGTCTCAATTTTATTTTATTTTTTCTTAACCCAAAATTATCAGATATCTTATTTTTTAGAAAAATATAGCATAAGACCAAAATGCAGTTCAAGTTTGGAAAGAAGATATTGAACTTGGGCTGAAGCCCAAACCCATAAACAAAATAAGATGAGCCCAACACCTCTTTCTCCTCTTCAGTCTCACGCACGGCAAAGGAAAAACAAAAGAAACGGAGACTTCTTCTCCGCAAGAAGCCAATGCCCAGATCGATCGAAGTAACGCACATCTTCTCCAACGTCTCTCCATAAAGTTCGCCCACACGCTCCAACGGGAAGAAATTGAAGGTCGTTCACTCTTAATCTCCTATAAATTGAAGATGAATTGCAACAAGAAAGGGGGGGAATTCACACAGAGAATAAAACGAGAATAAAGCAGCGGCTTGGCCGCTGCTATGGTGGTTGCCGGCGATGGCGGACATCTCTGGCGCGGCGGCGGACGGCCGGCAGACGCGAACCGGGCAGAGGCCAGTGATGGTTCCAAGAGCTTCAATTCTTCAATTTCTCAATTTCTTCATACAATTGGTAACCTTTATTTGTCAATTTTATCTTTTTTTCTCCAATTCTATGTAAAAGTTTGTTTTTTGTTCAATTTTTACATTTTTTGTTTGTTGTGTTTGTTCCAAATATTCTAAAGATGGTTGGTGTTCTTTATGGGTTTTTTTATGTTTATATTAAATCCCTTATGAATGAGAATTGATTCAAACTAGTTTTTCTTCAATTATTGAGCAAGTTGTTGTTGATGTGGTTGAATTGCATAATTTGATTTCATAAGTAGGTTGGTATGTGGAATTCGGTTTTTGTTGAACCTATTTTAGCTCCATAAGGTAGTTAAATGAACTCCGAATTCATACGTGAATCTCTTTTGTGCTTTTGTGTTCGTTGATTTTAAGGAATTTGGACTTCTTAGCTCCATAAGATGATTCATTTTTCTTAGAATTCGTTATTGAGTGATTGTTATGTTTTCGTGTGTTCGTTTGTTATTTTCATTAATTTGAGGTTGTTTAAGCTCAAAACCGATCTCAATTTATTGAAAATATGTTGTGTTCATTTATGTGAATAGAAAAAACGTCATTGGTTTGAGAAGTTNAGTTACGTAATATATTGTCTACGTGCCTATTATACGTGTAATGTTCGGCTTGTGTTTGTTCTCTTTTTTCATTTTGTTACGGGTTCTTGGCGGTGTTTCTTGGGTTACCTAAGTTGGAAAAGTTGATTATCTTTTGAGCTTGTTTTCCCCCATTTAATCAAAAAACCAAAAAAATATTTATTTTATTCAACCCCCCCCCCCTTTGTGTTGTGTTTAAGTTATATTATTAGTTCTTTGTTTATATAAGTTATATTTATAAGTTATTATTATAAGTTTTATAAGTGTTATCATATGTGTAGTAGTTAGTTTTATTTTTATATTTATTTTCGTGACAACGTATTCGCATACTAAAATGGTTTTAAAAAAATACAAACTTTCTCCGTGGGATCGACCCTTACTTGCCCTAGCTATAGTTTTTATTTGATTATATTGGGGGTTAGTTAAGGATATTTATAAATTTTTAATTTGTTTTGGACCGCACGACAAGTCCCCAACAAAGAACCTTCCCCACCCCTTCTTACTTCAAAGTCACGAAAATATGCCCCCATTTGTCCTTAAAATCAGTCCCCATCTATCACAAACATCCCCCACTACAAGAGGAACAAACCAGGGGACAAGGAATAAAACATGTCTTTTGTCCTGTTGTGGTAATACATCAAACCCACACCCCTTCACACCCCCTTGTCCCCATGGCCAAGTTCAGCCCCCCAAATGGCCCATTTATCACCTTTCAAATCTACAATAAAGCCAAAGGAATAAAGGATAATCCTTGATGTATTATTACTCATGTGTGGACCAAAAATCCATCCCCTCACCTCACCCTTCTCATGGCCAAACCACCTCCTTCCCTCACCCTTCACATGGCCAAATTCCCCTCATCAAAGACACCCCATATTCACCCTTTAACCTTGATCAATGAGGACAAACCCAAGAAATCAAACAAATGGATATTATACACTTGATTTTAGGAAAGTGGTAGGAAGCTTCCCCTTAGTTTTCTTCCCCCTTATTTATTTCGGCCAAGGGCCTTGTAATGGAGCACCATATTGTATTTTTATTCTCTTTACTCCTTGAGTAAAATACTTGAATTAGTGTGAAGCTAGTTCTCCCCATTTCCTAATGAAATATATCTCTAAAGTTGGCTACTTTTGAGTGTGTGTTAGGAGTTTTTTTCATATAATAATAGTGAATATTATTGTGTGAAAAGAAACAGCCCCAAATAAAATAAGAGTGTGTTTATCTTTTATTCAATATTTGGTTTATCCTTATACAACAAAAACCACAAAAGAATTCCCTCTTTCTCTCCCAATTTTGTCCTTCCCCTTTGTCCCATTTAAACACTTCATTTCTTCATCAAAACTACTCCAAATATAGCTTTTCTTCTGCCCTTCATTCTGCCCTATCATCTCTTCCAAACAACCATACTTTCTTCACCATTTCATACACAAATCCAACCTATTCTTCACCATATATTCCCCTATATAATATGCCCTTATTCATACATAGTTTTTCTTAAGCTTGGGTACATCAGGTTCTTGCCCAACCAAAACCACCGGTTATCGGCATTCTGCTATGTCGTTCGGTTTTCGACATTGGTTATTGGCATTTATTTTAGCCAAATGGTTTTTGGGTTTTTATCTTTGATTTTTTATTCTGAACACATTTAAAGGTTTTCCAAATGATTAGTTTTCAAAAACCATAACCTTTGTTTTCGGCATTGGTTATCGGCATTCGGCGCTGGTTATCGGCGTTGGTTTTTGGCGTCCAAACCAATCGGATGGTTTTTTAGATTTTATAATTTTGTTTTACTTATGGGCATGTAAAAATAGTTCTCCAATAAAAACATGTTAAAAACCACCTTTCGTTTTTGGTCTTTTGGTGAAAACCATGTGAAACACCATAAACTTGGCTAGCTGTGGTTTTTAACTTAATTAAGTGGTTTTTAAGGTTTTATACTTTGTTTCTACATAACATACATTGTATAATAGTTTCCAACACTTGGATTTCATTTTGGAGAACTTTGGTTTTTGACATCGGTTTTCGGCGTTGGCAGCCAAACCATGGTTCTGGCGAACCAGCCCAACATGCATGTAGGAATTCCCAATAGCAATGTTGGCATTCAGAAGTCCTGGGAAGTAGGTTATTGAACAGCGATGTTCATTGTTGAACAACGATGTTTTCAAATGACCGTTGGGCTATTTAAGACAAAATCTTTCCACTTTTGAAAGTCAAACACCCCAACATCGATGTAGAGTTCTAGACATCGATGTTTTGATGACCGTTAGCCATTTTAAAGGAAAGTCAAACCCAAAACAGCGATGTTCACTTTGTGAACAGTGCTGTCCGGCCAGATTTCATTTGATCCACTTTTATTTTGTTTCCACAAATCAAGCTAATCAACCCTAATCTTCTCCCAACCGTTGCACCTTGTTTTTGGGTATAAAAGGGGGTCTCTTGGGTCTACGTTTTTCAACCATTCCTCACACATTTCATAGCTTTACATTGCATCATTCCATAAACTTTTTACATAGCTTTTTAGAGCCATTTCTTGAGGAATTGAGTGCGTTCTTGATCTAAATTACTTTACTCATATTCTACTCTTTAAGAGAGTTTTTGTTCTTGAGTGGTTAAGTGTTGTGAACACTCTAAGGGAGGTTTGTTCCCTTGGTTGTACGAAGGAAAGGCATATTCCTTCGGGTTGAAGTCTTGGAGTGCGGTATCTCTGAGCAAGTGTATTGAGGCTCGTGGGACTCGAGTTCTCAGGTGGTAATGATTTGTTACGCACCTGTAAGCTTAACGGAAGTAGTGTAGCTTGAGAGAGTCTCTCGGGAGGCTGGACTAGCCACACGTTATGGCGAACCAGGGTAAAATCGGTGTGTTCTTTCCTTATGTTTTTTTTATTCCGCTCTTTACTTTATCCCTGCGATTTTTATTCCGCAAAAATTTATAAACATTCTCGTGCCTCACTATTCACCCCCCTATAGTGAAGGGCATTTAGTCTAACAGACCAACTTCTCATGTTGTTCATTTGTTAACCCGTTGGTTAGTGGATCCTCTAGATTATCCTTTCACTTGACATAGTCAATTGAGATATTGCCCATGTTGAGAAGTTGCTTAATGGTTTTCTGTCTAGGATGAATGTGGTTAGACTTATCATTATATATTACTCCGAGCTCACCCTATTAAAAATTCGAAGTCATGGTAAACGAAAATAGGAGGAACCAGCTTATCTCATTTTGAAATGTCCTCAAAGAAATCTTGAAGCCATTCGGCTTTTTCTCTGCACTTGTCTAGTGCTATAAATTCAGAGTCCATAGTGGATCCGACAATTAGCATCTTCTTCGAGGACTTCTAAGATACAAGTGCACCGGCTAACATAAAGATATATCATGTAATGCCCCAAAACTCGGCCTATCATATATAATTAATTAATGATAATTAATTAATTACTGAGATGGACTCGGTGGAATTATGAAATATTCTTTGTTTGATAAAAAGGTTTATACCGTTGTGAAGGATTCGACGAAACAAATCCAATGGTGCAAACGGATTAGATATGTTTATGAGCATGTAAGATAATGTTTGAATATGAGTTTAGAATCTATTGATGTGTGTTATTTGATGTGGAAAAATGGAGCTGGTGCAGAGTCAGGCTTCACTGCGAGTGATAGTAGGATGGTATCGCTAGCACGGTACCGAGCTACCGTCACCTTCCCCGTTTTCCCTTCCCTCTGGCAGCACTTGTCACCAAACGGTACCTGTGTACCGGGTGGACGGTAGCCCTTACCGCCGAGTCGATAGTGGCTATCGTGACAGGCCTGACGGGTGAATGCAAGACTTGTGCGGGATGGTACCCTAGTACCGTGGGGTTGGTACCCCTTACCATTAAGGATACCGTGAGGTACCTGAACTAGTGAAAATTCTATGTTTTCTTTGAGGATTGATTTTGAAACTTTGTGTGTTGCATGAAGGTAAACATGGGTGCCAACACCAACTGTTAGGCTGCTCTTTGAGTATATTGATTATTTCATTGACTTTTGGTTGATGTATGCACATATTATCATGAATTGTTAATAGATATTGATCGAATCACCTAGAGGAACTCTAGGTATTGACCTGAATGGATTAGTGACAAGGTATGCCATAAGTTAGTAAGTTAGAATCATGTGGTACCTGCTGGGTCCAATGGCTATTTAGATAAAAACATGCACACATGGATTTATGAACTGTCATTCCAAAGGGGAGAGAGACCTCACCCACCCAACGAGGAACTCCTGAGTTGGTTTGAGCTTGACCTTCATTCCGAAGGGGAAGGTCATGGCTCCCATAGGCAAGTCGAATCATTTAAGCTTTAACCTAGTATAGGTTAAGACCCAAGTACGATAAACAAAGTAAAGTAAACTAAAATGGATAGTACCTAATACTTATATCATTGTTGATTGTATCTTATGAACTGTTATGATGTTGATCATGCATGTTATATCTTGTATACTGTATGATTGTTGCTATGCATGTTGTGTCCATGATATCGTATGATGATATGAGCTAGTGGGATGATTTATGGGTATAGCTATATGTTAGATATTTACCACTTAGCTTCAATGTTGAGTGGGTAGCGTTTGTTCTTTTGCTTTCTTTTGTTGCATGTATGTAATCCAAGGAATGAGGAACTTGGAACCAATCGCGTAGGGCGATGAGAATGCGGAGATGTGCATGGCGGTGCTTGATGATTTTGCATTATTATCTATTATTTATATTAACTTATTACTTTTTACGGGCATGATTCCCAAGTTATGTTTTGAATTGTTAATTAAGCTTCCGTAACTGTTTTGGATATTACTCCTATTGAATGTTGAAATGTGTTTAGAATATTTATTTAAAGTGTTTTGAAAATTAAGTCGTGTTTGAGTACGAATTTAGTAGCAACCCGATTAGCTAATCCAAGTATTCAGGTTATGCGGGTTGGGGTGTTACATTTTGGTATCAGAGCATATAGTTTTA